TAGACTGTCTGAAGTGGTATGCGTTTCCAAACAGAGAGCCGAATCACCTTCTAGCATTTCTTTATCATTTAACATCTCATTTGGTTGCACAATCTCTGACTGTGGATTGTGGATTGCCTCTTCGAATTCTGCTGGTGCCTCATCTGTATGCTCTTCTCCCAATAATTGGTCCTGCTTATTTCGGGCTGAATGCAATGGTTGTTCTATCTGTTCCTCGGGTTGTGGCGGTTGTGGTACTTGTGCATTTGATAGTAAGTGCGTAGAGAGTGAAGATTGATTGGGTTCTCTGCATACTGAAGTTGGTAGTGTGTGGACATTGTAACTTGTGTGCGAACTGCGGCAATGCTGATTAGTGTAATCCTTATTGAATGTTGATCCGCATATCCCACACCTAACTTTGTAGCGTCTTCCAACAGGCATCTGCATGAATTAAACAGTATTATTGAATATTGATATGCTCAACTTGAACATGTGCGGCCACAGACGACACTGACTTAGCTCAGTGTTTCATTGTTTCCGGTTTTGTTTACTTAGGCTGCGTTCAGACTGAGTGCCCGGCACTGGTGTCCGTCGCCTTTTCTGGCGCCTAAGTTGAATACGACGCTTTCAAATGAATTTGAGAACGGTGCCCAAGAACGGGCACCACCTCCAGACGTAGTAGTGAGCAAGGACACTGTGCTCAGCACGTTTTATGAACCAGTTTTGACTTTGGGCACCGGTGCCGGGCACTCAGTCTGAACGCAGTCTTAAAGTATTGGCAATAAATGCTTAATAATTACATAATTAGATATTCATATTTTGATAAAGCGTAGAAAGTTGATTAGTAAGTCTTTGGCCATTTTTCTCTGAAGCGTTTGTAACGGTTTGTTTCGGATATGCAGTAGGTTGGGCACAAACACGCAAAATGAAATTTCGGCAATCGGCATTTGGTCCAAGAGTAGCGCAACATCCGCCGGAAGCTCGGTTCCCAGGACCATTTCAATTTTCAATAACAACAACAAGATCACAGTGGGAGATCGAAGTAATATAATTGTGGCGAGATTTTGGCAGAGTAAAATCCGATCAGGGTGTTATTTCGGTTTGTGGAGACTCAGTGGAGTTAGAGTGAACGTTTAAAACACATATCCCTTCATCCAATGTGGCTTAATACCTTTCTAGGGCGATATTTCACGGATTTTCACTCACAACACCAACTTGAAGAGACGCGACATTTTTCTACGACCGACGGAGGTTATTGAAATGCAGCCCGACTAAACTCTACTTTACTATGGTGTATCAAGAAGAATCCAGTGAAGAATTGTTTGAAATCAATGTTAAAATACTTGAGTTGTTATTGTGACAAGCGAACAATTATTACTGCCACTTGGCACGTGTACAATATTTTGAAACTTGCAAAGAGCCAAAGACTACAATTTACCAAATTTGTTATTTGACGTCCGTACTATTTTGTCCGAACAATCTAAGTTATAAAATTAAAATCTAAGTTAAAATTATACGTACCTGAAAAGTGAAATCGCAAATCCGTTATCATCACCTTTATCTTTAATATCTATCATACATATTCGTAAATATGGTGCGTATGATAGAGAACCGGTAATATTCAATATTCATTCGAAGCAAATTATAATACCGCGTCCGCCAATCGCGTCCGCATGAAAGACCTGCGCGAGCATATTTAAATGGTGAAGGGCGCTGTCAGCCTGTCAAACAGCCTGCTAATGACAACCTCGTTGCTAATGATAGCCTGCGCGCAGACGAAATATTAGTATACTAGAAGTTACTATCGCAAGGAAAGTGCTGGCATCGCAAGTCCATTTATCACATGTTGAAGAAAAACAACGGCTGTTTAAACTAAATTTGTCTACTCCACAGAGGCTTTCTGGGCTTTTTTTTCAAAAGAATAATATTAAGTGTTAGGTGTCACTACTGTTACAGTAACAATGTTGCGACAACATGTGTTTTTGCGCGTGTATTTGATACAGCATTAATTTGCTCCTGCCAGCAGCTTCGTGCGTGCTGAGAGTGAGAGCAGTTGTGAATAGACTCATCAAGGTTATTTCCGCCATATTGCCTGCGGCTGCAGGGCAAAAAAAACTGGGTTTGAGCTGCGCGACCCGCTAATTCAGGCATTTACATTAAGATTCAATACATATGGCGGTCACAGAATGTTTTCCTTTTTGCCACCATTTCTAACAAAGCACTGTGTTGTTGTGGCGAGACGGGATTTTATTTCAATTAATAATAGTAATACTCAATCTCGTCTCCAGTGTGCCCAGAGTCCGCAATGCTTTGCTTGCAAGTGTGAAAATTGAAGGCTATTATAAGAGATGGGTGGCGGCTTTTCGGGGCGGCTGTCGTGCGCTTGTCATCACGCGAAAATACAAATCAACACAAATCGTCCTTTGTTGTGACTTCAAGTAAGTTAAACCGCTCAATAAAACGAGTGCTTCGTTAGAAATCGTTAAATTCAGTGTTCACTTGCGGTTTGCCTACGAAGTGGCAAAAACGAAAACTTTCTATAACCGCCATTCGTATTGAATCTTAAAACTCATTGTCATCGGATCAGATGGCATCTTAAAGTGGTAAGCTCATTTTAACTTGCGATTTCTGTGTGAATACTTGACCGATTTTAATAAAAATCAAACCATTTTAAGGAGGGAATTGTCCTCAGTAGAATGAGTAGATACATGCTTTTTTTAGATCGATATGTTGCCAATTCGCCATAGTATTCACGTGAGTTAAGCGCGTGCTTACTGCGTGCTCGGAATGTTGTCATGCGGTTGGAAGAGGCGACAAAACTCTATGATACCCTCCTCCTAGGGTAAATTTGACCCCAAAAATCGATTCCTGATGTAAAATTGGACCAAGGGGTCCAACCTTTTTTCGCATATCAAACATGTTTGATCTATTTACTAAATCGTCTTTTCAAGCTCTATCGTTTGGTTGTATTCCGGGGTCTTTAGCCCAAATACTTGCCGAGATATTAAGTTTACCTTCTTCCCGACAATATTGTCGGGTGTAATCTATTTACGACAACAGTGAGTCAGTGGCGGGTCGCGCGGGCCGGCGCGGCTCGAAGCCAGTTTTTTTGCCCTGCAGGCAATATGACGGAAATAGCCTTGCAGGGGTTCGCAGACGCAGGTAACTTCCATATATAGAACGCATACCATATATGGTTTTCGCCAGAATGAATGACAAAAATCGAGATTTTGCCTCAATATACGTGCCCAGACTCCGAGGCGTACGCGGCCAATCTCCAGATTAGTGTGCTGGCTCGCTGCGCTCGCCAGCAATTACATCCGCTAGCAGTCGTGGTTGCAGTCGGCAGTCGCTCAAACAACAGTTAAGTTAACACCATGCACTTGTGTACGAGTAATAAATGTTGACCGAAGTATATGTATTTTCGGTCAACCGTGAACGTCGTCAGTCGTCACCCCGTCCAACTTAACGATTCATCATCTTGAGACCGACTCACTTCATTTTGAGACCAACTGAAGCATGTGTACCACCCCCCCACACCCCCCCACATTTACGCCCCTGCTTTTATATGATAACGACGCTTGATTATTGGGTATGAATCCGCCTTAATATACCGCAGTATATGATAATGAGAACAAATAATAATTGTCGTTTGTCGTAGGCCTTTATAATGTTCCAACTTTAAGACCATATTTAATTCTTTAATAGATAAAACAAAGGCGAATAATAACGGAAAGGCCAAAGCGCAAACAAGTGCACGTCTTGCTAAGGCTTTGGAAGAAGCCGAAAACCTATTTTTAACAAATACTCCCAGCGCCAACAAAATTCGAAAGAAGCCTCAGAAAAGCCACATTGAAATCAGAAGAGACAACGAGGGGAATAGAATTTACCACTGTCCAAGAAAAGGTTTTGTACAGTATTAACTATACTCTTATTTATATATATTTTTTACTTTTCAGCTCCGCCTTTTACAATTTATCTTTTTGGTTGGCCAAACTTCATTGATTCAAGTAAGATATAATAAGTTTAGAGCTGCATTTCACATAACTATTAACCCATTGAGCCACATTGTGCTCAAATGTGCCCTACTTTAGTATTTACTCTAAATTGTCTAACGCCAGACAATTTTACTCGTCAAGGGAGAGTACTGGCGCCTCCTGATGGGTTAATCAGCTTTTCACTTGTCATATTTTGTTGCTGAATGGTTTGGAAGCTATTTTGTGAATTGTGAGATGACTGAAAAAGTGCATGTTTGCTAATTAAAGGTACAGTAGCATGGAGAATTTTTCATTATTTTAAAAGGGTCAAGATGGATGAAAGCTGTTGTGGAAAGCACCAGCATGGCAGATGATATGGATGACTTACCATCACCCACAGCAGAGCAACCCTCCAACAAGGAAATAAATTATCAAGGTGATTACCCATTATCTAGCAATAAGCATGAATGTACCTACTCTCATATCTTACTTTGTCTAGCATTACATCATTTAAATTGTCAGTGGAAGATACTGCCATTTGATAAGTTTATAACACTACTATCTGCCAGTACAAGCAATGGACCTGAATTTGCCTTAACTTTCTTATTTTACCATTTTATGCCGTTTAATACCAGACAATTTTAGTTCTCTCAATAGAATAGTACTGCCAGTTAATGGTTTAGTTAACATTCTGTTATTCACTCATTCTCCAAGCCTAGATGGTTATGTAAGTCACATTTCTGCATTCATTGTCATTTAAAATATTCCCAATTTCATTGATGAAATTTCAGAACAACTGGCTAGCATTCTTGATGATTGTGACGAAATATGTAGTGAAATGTATGGAGACTGCCAGGAACCAGAACCCATGTCTCAGTGGCAAAAGAGAACCAAATCTAGTGATGCAAACTGGGAAAATTGGAGAGATAACCTGTTCTCATCTCTTCTTAACTCCTGTGTCATTCCTGAGGATGAATTTATATGTATGGCATGTGGTAATGAAACAGCTGTGTAGTTAAGTGCTCAGAATGCATTTCTCAGTATATGTGTCCCACCTGTGATGATACAGTGCACAGTGATAAGCCATTGCATGATAGGCAAGAATGGCTTAATGGTTTTTATCATTATCTGAAACCTACAGAAAGTGTGTCAAGAGAAGGAATAATTATGGTAAAAGGTATTTGTAATAATAACAGCACTATTCTGATTTCTACAAATTCAACCATGGGCCTATAGAGTCAGTATAGCACCTTTTCTCATTGTCAAGAGACTTGATTTAGTTATAATTGTTTTATAGCAGCCCCCCGTAACATAATTATTGGTAGTACTTGGCAGGCTTCAATATCCTTATTAAAAGAATAATTATGTAGCTAGGTTACATTTGAGTGCATGTGCAGCTAGTATGGATTCATTGATTTAATTTACATAATTTTACTACAATACACTACACAAACAAAAGAGTAAAAGTATTTACTTTTTTGTTGCAGAACGTTACTGTCCGTTGATTTGTGACACACAGTGTAGATCATGTGGTGAAGGGCAGTTAAGAAAATGTGTTGCAAAGGATAAGATAATTTTAGTTACCATGAAAGGTTTGTGTTTGTCCAAACTCTAGAACCAGCAAATCTTTATAAGTAAAGAGCATAAGTTGTAAAATGTAAATTGGGACATCTTAAAATCTCAAAATGTGGATTATTGTAACATGTACCTCTAGAATACTGTATTTTGAGTTTTCAATTAGGATTTTTTAATTTGTGGTTTGTACTTTATCTGTTATTTAAAGTTTGCTTTTATAAAGTGCTTTTTTGTTAGCTAATTTAGTTTATATACAGTCATAATTTTTAATTATCCTTGTTAGGTCGTTATGATTTGCACTGGTTCTCCCTTGTTTGTGAAGCTTGCAATGTTGTCCAACCATTGTCCCTGACAAGCATTATAAATAATGGTTATTGGCCGGGTTCCCCATGCCAAGTAAACTACCTCTTCGACCAAGAAGTGTTTAGAGTGTGGGAAACCTTCAAAATGCGAATGCCTGGATCATCAGAGTCTGCATTTATAAAAAGCCTTGGAGGATATTTCTGCAGTGAAAGGCCGGGTAAGTTTAATGCATGGTGATAATAGTATAAGCTGTGCTGTACGGTAATGAACAGAGCATAATTAACATACAGTTCATGTACAGCACACCCAAGTTTGATAAGTGTATGTGATAGCCATTAATTATGTAAGTATATGTTTTCTTTAATTGCCAGACAGGGATAATTAATGCATCCACATTCAGAAAGGCTGCAGCTGAATGGAGATACTGTCAGTATGAAGTAGATAAGTTGCAGGGTATAACCTACATTGATTGTCCTCCATGCTCTATGTCACAACATTCTGCACATGTGGATGGGAATCAGAAGCTTTATCGTTTTAAAAGTGTACCAAGGTGTGTCAATAATTCATACTATTTTGTACCCTGATCTATGTTTAATTTTTGGTTTTTATAAAGTGCATTGTAATCTTGTAAATGCTGTTAAATCTGCCATCCTGCACAGAGCAATGTGTGAAAATTTCTAATTTTAAAAATGTTTCAATAATGTTTTGTAGAGGTAATAGAACTTCTTACTATGGGGATCTCTTCATTAAGAATAACACAGATGTTGATATTCAGATTGCTGAAGTATATAGCACTGGAAAGAAAGAGGTATTGTGCATCAATTAGCTATATTGCCATCACCATCACAAACAAATTTGGGAAAATGGCATTGTTCACAGCGTGGGTTATAAAAGCACTGAAAATGGTTGTACAATCCATACTTATGTTTACTTAAACTATGTAATAGGATAATTTCTATGAATACAATACCGGTACCGGTGTGTGGTGTTCTAGGATGCAATAGTATTAACAGCAGCATCATAGTGCTTACATATCAACTTAAAGTTTAAGAGGGGTGAAGGCATTAATTTTCCGATAAACATAAATTTTTAGGGATGATTTTTCCGAAAAAAGGTTTTCGGACATCAAATATTGCATTCTGTTTAGGTTGGAAGCAACGCTTGTGGAGATTCACACTGGAAAGCAGCTAAGGCCGTAAGTAAAAGCAAGAAAAAGCAAGATGAAACTGGTTTAGAGGTTGCTTGCTGTCGGCACAGTATTGCACAAGCAGCAGTTAATATGTTTCGAGGAGAAATATATGGATATGCACACTACTTGCATACTCAGTACCTTTTACCAAGGCATGTCAAATTTCTTTGGCAAGATGTAATTTGTCTGTACTGGCCATGGGCAGTGTCAAACACACCTCGTCGTCTTCTCAAGGCTCTTGATATGGCACCTGCACTATCTGTAATGCATGGTAAATCTCATTCTTGGAACTGCCAGGTATGTTGCAATTTAGTACTAAAAGCCTCGAACGTATTGCCAAAAACGAAACTAAGCTGTTAACGGGAAAAGTGAAATTTCGTAAAATATTGTGAGTAATAAAATTATTCTATTTTCATTTATACTGTACAATATATCAATTTTTAGTTCACATGGGGTGGCAGGTGGCAAGACGGCGCTGCAAATGGTACTGGAGAAGAAGCTGAGCAAGTCAACAGCTATATTTCTCGCCTTGGCTCTACTACGAAGCGGATGTCAGCAGCAGGTGGGTTTAGCAATCGGCTATCGTTTTTTTTGCACCAAAACACTCTGTGTAATAGTACTGTGTAATGGTGAACCGAAACAAATTTTTGTTTCTCCTTGAAATGCCAATACTGTACAGAATTTCGTTATATTGTAGGGCGTGAAGAAGCTCTTACGGAGCATGTTTTGGGATGGAATAAACGAAAAGTCTTGAACATGCCTAAATACCTCAGGATGCGTTACGCTAAGGTTTATATTGTTATACTTATTTTGGTATTGCTATTGTGTGTTGTTGACACTACGATTGGTTTAGAAGTTGAATGTCACAATGATTGAAAGTGTAATTTGACGAATACGTAGTAAGATTAGATTTGCCAGTTAGAGGGGGGTTACTTGTGAAGGAAGTACAGTACTGTACTGCCAATAGCACAATAGATTTTTTGTGGGTGGATCCCTGTGTGCGTTTTAAATCTCGATTGCTTTGTTTTTCACATGAAAATGCAGACAGCAAAAACACTAAAAGAAAAACAAAAAGAATTAGAGGAAACTCTTGTGGATTTTGGCCTACAGGGAAAGGAAGAAAAAGAGATTTTAGAGTGGAAATCGACTGTTGAAAACTTTGCGAGAGGTTAGTGTGTTTTTCGACCGTATATTATCAACTTTTAGTCGTCATCGAAACGCTTAACAAATACTTACAGCACTGTGTTCAGAGTTACTCATGTTTTGTGTGAAACATCTACCAATAATAAGTAATACTTTTCTCCAAAAATTCTTTAAAAGAAAAATCTTTTTCGTTGAAAATATCATCGCCTGTAGCTGATATACTTTTTAGCAACCAAATTTTGATATGAAATATTCAACCAAAAATATTTTAATTAAGCCTCGATTTTCCATTCATTGTTACTAAAAACGTTGTGTACCCACTGTTACCATAGCGGATGGTAAAATCGAACAAGAATACGGGGACGCCGAAAACTATTTTATACTGTATCATCAAATTCGTGACGCAACATTATTAAAATCATTCGTGGAAGGAGGGGATCGACAAACACGCGACTTGCTTGGAAATGTTGAATTGCACAGTACAGTGGAGTCAAAGACATCACAACTGTGTAGTTTGCAGCAGCAGTTGAGCAAAATAAAATAAAAGTTCCAGCAAGTATCCGAAGAGAAGCTTCTTGAAAAAGGGAAAGAAGAGTTGATACTGAAGTCGATCTTAAAATTGCAAAGGAAAGCAGAGATTATATATTTTTCAATACAACGGAGAGCACGTGATATATCTAAAGTGGCTGGTAAGTTGATTCAGGATTCAGAACGTAGTTTTGAACGTGGTGTTGCAGTTTCATAATCGTTTTTTTTTCCTTTTTAAATGTACACCAATATATTAGATCGATCTAAAATGAGATCAAGCATGAGAAAGAAAATGAGCAATGAAAGAAAGAATTTAAAAGCAGTTGTAGATAAGTTAAATGCATTTGGTCGATCAAGTGTTTCACTTGAAGAAGTCTTGGAAGGTGATTTCCCTTGGTCAGACAGTGATAAAGAGAAGGCATTTGGTAATTATATACACTAATATGTACCAGAGGTCTTACCAATTACTTCAATATTGACAAGATGTTTTCATTTCAATTGGAAGATTGGTTGTAACAAACTGACAGAGGATTTGAGGAATTTACGCCAAAGTATAGAAACTTGAAAACTTACTAGTAGATTTTTACAATACTGATGGCAAACATTTTGGTTACATATAAGTATAATTTAGGATTAGTTTCACCAGGTTGTTCAGTGATGCAGTGATGGCAGTTATACCTTTGATCAAGATTTAATCTTTATATATGTACTGTAAATCTAGATTGTTATTAGCATATATAATTATATCGTTTTAGACTCGATTCCTATTCGTACCAAGGCAAGTATTGTGGACAAATTTGTGGCTGTGCAACGTTTAACGGAAGAACAAGATTTGTTGATTGGAGAAATGGTGAATTTTATGGCATATTACCGAGACAATGTCTTGAGTGAACTGGACAATCAGCAGAAAGGGATAAAAGAAATGATTGGTATTGTACAGTACACTATGTCGTTTCTTTGTAATAACAGAATATCGTGCATTTATGCATGTATTTTACTAATGCCTTCTCTATTTTGTATGATGTTTACAGAGAGTATATTAAATCCTGATTTGATTGAAGAGGAAAGGGTGAGTAACAAAATGATAAACGCATGCTCTATCACCATTCACCTTATCGATAATTACGTCATTAACCTGGGAGCTTTGCTTTTGTTAATCGTCAGCCAATCGCTTCGCGTCGTCTTTTAAAACAAAAAATATTTGTGTCTTACTTATGGAAAGGTTGTATTACAATTGATGCATAAGCAATCTCCCCTTTCAAATTATAGAGGCTCTATGGAACGTGTAATAAAATATCATTAAAGACACTGGGACTTAATACATTCCTATATATATAGTGTGTACATTTTGAAGGTCGCACAAGAACTTCCTGAAATAGATGTGAAGCGGTACCAAATTAGAAGAGAAACGATCTCAACTTTAAAGGGAAAACTTGCCATGTGCAATGCAGGGACTTGGTTTGCGAAGCTAAAACTTCAAAATGGAATGAGAAACTTCCGAGACTTAGAAAACGTAGAGCTGCAACATTATGAAGATGTTGATGCGGAAGAAGAAGCAGAAGTTTCCGAGGGTGAATCGTCGTCCGATGACGAAGAAAATAAAATGGACGAATAAATAAAATACTTTCCTGAGAAATTATATTCAATGTATGTATATAACAATTTTAGAAGCTTCGGTGAATTAAAGAATATAATTGGAACAGCACAAGGCAGTAGAGAAATTATTCCAAGGTCAATACAACATTAAAATAGCATTCGGTGTATAATTAAGAATAATGTTATAAGGTAATAGTTTTTCTTCTAAACATGTAGTATATATAGTGTACACTCGTAAATTTGTTGTTCATTTAAAGGGACGCATTGTTTTTTGTTTGCTTTGTCTATTAGTTTTCCAAAGCTTTGGTGGCTGCATGTAATGCTCTGGTTTTCTTCTATTAAAAAGATGTATGTTTTCACAAAATCAAACAAATATGACAGTTAAATTTTTCTCCTTGCATTATTAGCATTTATGACTTGTATTCTCCGTTTGGTAAGTTACTGGACCTCACGATATATAATTTTCCCGGGTTACTGTACTTTTAACATATGGATTGTCTGGTGAAGCACTTACTGTGCAAATTGGTTCGATTCCAATTAAATCCTTTTATAAATAAATATTTCCAAAATACCCAAGCCATATTTCACTTTTAAATTTCTGTCAAGAGTTTGCCTTGTTGAAACTAGCTCTGGCACAAATTTTCAGTTAATATCCTTGCATCGCTGTGTCTGTTGTAAAACAGGACTCATTTCACGCATATCCAGTCAATATATAATACGGTAACAGCATTGTGCCCAAAACGACCTCCTTTTACACACAAACTTAAATTGAATATTTCACTTTGAAATTTCTGTCAAGAGTTTACCTTGGTAAAACTAGCTCGGGCACAAATTTTCAGTTAATATCGTTACATCGCTGTGTCTGTTGTAAAACAGGACTCATTTCACGCATACCCAGTCAATATATAATACGGTAACAGCATTGTGCCCAAAACGACCTCTTTTACACACAAACTTAAATTGAATATTTCACTTTGAAATTTCTGTCAAGAGTTTACCTTGGTAAAACTAGCTCGGGCACAAATTTTCAGTTAATATCGTTAATCGCTGTGTCTGTTGTAAAACAGGACTCATTTCACGCATATCCAGTCTATATATAATACGGTAACAGCATTGTGCCCAAAACGACCTCCTTTTACACACAAACTTAAATTGAATATTTCACTTTGAAATTTCTGTCAAGAGTTTACCTAGGTAAAACTAGCTCGGGCACAAATTTTCAGTTAATATCGTTCAATCGCTGTGTCTGTTGTAAAACAGGACTCATTTCACGCATATCCAGTCTATATATAATACGGTAACAGCATTGTGCCCAAAACGACCTCCTTTTACACACAAACTTAAATTGAATATTTCACTTTGAAATTTCTGTCAAGAGTTTACCTTGGTAAAACTAGCTCGGGCACAAATTTTCAGTTAATATCGTTACATGGCTGTGTCTGTTGTAAAACAGGACTCATTTCACGCATATCATGCATCAAAGACGTTCGATCGGACACTTTCGTAAGATCATAAACGTAAAAGCACTGCCTTATCCAGGCGGGTAGAAAATTTACCCTATTTCGAGTAGATATAACACATGCGCCTTATAAGTGAATATGTTTTACAAATTTGGGCGAGTTTCTAAAGTTTATCCTCGGCTTCAGGAGAACAGATCATAGTTGTAGAGAACGGGGGCAATTGCCCCCCACCCCCGAAGAAAAGTTAGAAGTTGGAAAGTTAGGCAAATTTCAACATTGCATGTATGGTCGGATGAGAAATGGGCAGGAAATTATAAAGTCCCATTTTTCAAAAATTGCCAGTAAATTTGGTCGACAGGGGAGGGGAAATATTCATTACCCCCTAAAGTAATAGCTCCTCTACGCCTACGGAACAGATCCTGTTATGTCAGATTATGTTAGTTCCCATAAAACTGCATGCGCACTCCTCATTCTTGCACGTCCCCGGGTAGTTTAGGCGCAACAAACGGAAATTTAACGATTCTAAAAGACAGTCAAATTTTGGTTAAACTAAAGCCTATTTTTCATTCGGAAAATATATAATCGCGCGACCCGGAAATTCGTTTCCGTGGTGAATTTCGACGCGCTAAAAACGCTGTTCAGAAACATAAAGTTCTTCCATTACAACAGGCCGGTTTTTCAGCGGTTCACAGAGCGGTTTGCAATTTTGCATTTCACTCACTGGTATTAATTTTCCATATATAAGACAGCCGCCGACAATACGAGCCTGCACGAGTAGGAGAATTTTCGCTGACATGGACCAACGTGAATATTTGACGTGAAAAACGTTTTTGGTTGCCTTATTGACCTTATTGGTTTCCTTCTTGAGTGCATGAACCAATTTGCCTCGTTATATTTTGGCTTATCGTTTGATTCAGAACCAGATCGATGACTTTTCGTCCGTGTTGTAATTGTGCGCCCTTCGTGTTTTTTTTTTCTTATTTCAAACAAGTTGTTTTCGTTCTTAAAATTATAGCATTAACTACAGACATTAAAGTTTTAAGCCCTTTTTTTTTAAATCAACAATACGACGCACTCTACATCATCTACAATGCGTTCGCTGCTACGCGTTCATGCGTTCAGTGAACAGCAGATTGGTTTCTTTCTATTTCAGTAGATAGATATTCAGGAATGTTGTAGTGCTATATACTTGGGCACAATACGCCAGGACAAGCCTGGCACACGGAAACTTAAACAGGAAATAAGCTTGCATGGATGGACGGTCAAAGTTTGCCCGGGCAGGCCGTCTCCTGGAAACTCAAAGGCCATCCGTCTGGTTTCCATGTAACGATCATGACCCGTCGCAGACTTAACTGTTGTCAATTAACATTGAAATAGACAATGATTTCAGACATACAAAAATCAGTATAACCATGCATCGGCATCGTTCATCGCACGCCGATTGTCGTTTATTAACTATGTGATCTTTATTCGCGGTTAATTCAACAACTTTTATAAATTTGACTGCCCGCTGGAATTCGGTGGATAGCGCTATCCGGTCTTCGTACGACCGACGCCTGGTCCTTAAAATCTATATTCATCAGTGATGTCCATTGCCAAGTGGTCATTGAGGCGTAAAATATTTTCGGGTCGTATAGAACATCGCCGATAAATTACGCCTGGTTCACACTTGTCCTGAGAATCGGGGATTCATTGTATTATTTTCCGATAGACAAAGGATCTTATGCACCAGTGACCTCAGATAAAGGGAATCCCAGACTCTTAGGAGAAGTGTGAACCCAGCTGAGGGGTAAAGCAACAGAAGTTAGTGGCCATGAATGAAATTCTCCTATATGAATTCTATCAGGATCATCAAAAGTTCCAGGGCAGGGCGGCTTTAGCTGACATGTCGGCAATATTTCCTTTATTTCAATAACAACATGGCCATGTTTTAACGGTTTTCCATGAACTGTTTTTTGGCTGTGCACAACACCCCATGCTTGCACGCATTTATTGGAGTCGACAAGGCCAACTTTAGTTCCTAAAGAAAACGAAAGCAGCTGGAAATGAGAAATTTTCATACTTATATACGGAAAAATATGCGAGCAAAACAATGCTTTCTAATGCCTTACGTCTCCACCTCAGAATTATTAGTATGTTAACATGCTTTCATGCGATAAAATACAATTAAAAATTCATGCTTTAATAATGAACATGCAGCAATTCAAAATACGACCTCTTATAATAGCTATATACTTTGTAGTTTCTAGTTTGCTTTATAGCTTTTGCAGAAAGACTTTGCAGAAAGCATACAATTCCCTTTATTGCATAATTTTTCTTCCCTAATTACGGTTAACATATATAGAGTATATTTACCTGCTGTTATTAACACAACATTTTTCCTTTTACTTCCTGTATTTACATCAGCATTGATGTTATGGCGAGCGATATTGTTAGTGGTAACAGAAGTGTTAGTATTAGTGCTACTATTTGTGCTGCAATTGGTGCTAACATTAGAACTGCTATATGTGTTAGTGGTAGTGCTCAAGTTAGTGTTGAAGTTAGTCTCGTCAGGGTTCAAGTTGGTGTTAGATTTAGTATTGCTGTTAGCTTTCGAGTTGTCATTAGTATTAGTGTTACTGTTTGAATTAAAACCTATATTAATGATAGTGTTCGAGTTGGTATCATTGTTAGCGTCAGTGATATCAGTACTATCTCTAGGTTGTACATTAGTGTCCAGGTTAGTGAGGATGTCTGCGTCGGCATTTGTTACAGGGTTAACATTAGTGTGAATATGAGCAGTATTAGTAGACGTGTTGCATGTACACAGAGAATTTTACCGAGTTAAAGCAACTCTTTTTGTAGGGTTAAAATAACTTCTTGGTGTAGAGTTATTTTTCTAGAGTTATTTTTACTCTGAAAAGAGCGTTATTTTAATTATCCTCCCAATAATAGGAGTTGAAATAACACTATCTAGAGAGTTAAAAAAAGAAGAAGTTATTTAAACTTCTCAAGGGAGTTATTTTTACTCCATGAGAGTCGAATCTACTACAGTTACGGAGTAAAATTCACTCTTACTTTGAAGTTAAATCAACTCCTGTTTTATGGTAAAATTAACTCGAATTTCGGAGTTTAAATAACTCAAAATTTAGCGTTAAATCAACTAAAACGTCGGAGTTAAAATCACCTGAAATTTCAGAGTTATATCAATTCGCATTCCAGAGTTAGCTAAATCAGCGAAAACATCAAATCGCACTTCGGAGTTAAATCAATTCGAACTTCAGAGTTGAGTTAACTCGAATTTCTGTCTATTCAGAGTTAAATGAACTCATAACTGAAGATTTGAAAGATTCGAGACTCTGGAGTTAAATTAACTCGAAATTTAGAGTTAAACCAATTCGAGCTTCAGAGTCAAATTAAGTAAAACTTCAAAGTACAATCATTCCGAACTTGAGGGTTAAGTCAATTCGAACTTCAATGTTAAATTAACTCAAATGTAAGGCTGTTCAAAGTTAAATTAACTCGAATTAAATAAACTCAGCTTTAAATCATTTGAGACTCTGGAGTTAAAACAATGAAAAAAGTAAGAGTTAAATCTATTTAAACTGTATCTATTTGAACTTTTGAGTAAAATCGGGAATAACTACAGAGTTAATTAAACCCAACATCATGGCTAAATCAAGTCGAAATTCAATTAGTTAAATGAGTACAAAATCTAGGTAAATCAACTCAAATTGCAGAGTTAAAATAATTCAAAATTCAGAGTTATATAAATTCAAACTTCAGAGTTAAAACAATTACTTCAGTTCGGAGTTAAATCTAAACACACTTTAAGTAAATTAACTTTAGCATATATGCATGCATGTTTACATGTGACTTTACTTCTACTGCAGTCTAGAGTTAAATCTATTTCTATTCGACAGAATTAATTCAATATAAATTTCAGTGTAAAATCGACAAAACTTGTATGGATATCAAGTTAAATCAAATCAAATTTTAGAGTCAAATCAATAAAACCTACCGTTAAATAAGATTAGATTGCCGAGCTTAATTAATAACTACTTCCAGCTTCAGAACTACATCATTCAGAGTTAGGCCAAATCAATTCAAATTTCAGTATTTACAATTTAAATTTTAGTTTGGACAATGCTCAGAGTCGATTAATTAAAGATACAGAGCTTCTGAGTTAAACCAACTCAAACTATATATAATGCGTGCAGACTGAGGTTAATCAACATAGGCGGCATATATAGTTAAAATAATTCAAATTCCAGAGTTCAATTAAGCTATGTTAATAAACTCAAATATTGGAGGTTTAGCAAATAGCAACATTAACTTGAATACTTTGATGGTCACTAAAAATGTTCCCAGTTGCATATCATTCTGACAATATACAATTGCAACAATATCACACACTCCACTTTAAAGTCTATTCTGCCACAACGTACCTTGGAGCTAAATATATTGTCCTTGATTGTAAACCTAATGGTTTAGAATTATGAAGAGGTATAACATACGAAAGTTGCGAATGCTTAACAATACTCATATTTCTACTCGCATCCAATTCAACTTCATACGCTTGGAAGTGGTCATTCCATCCTGTAGTTTCCAATTTACTTACAATAAAATTAACTTCCTTCAGATTATGACTGAAGACAATAATTTTGTTTACGAGTACAAATGATAACTCATCATCTTCAACTTCGGTTTGTAAATAGCACCCAACCTTATATTTTGTTCCACCTACAGTAACCCATCGTGATCTACAATAAGCAAATAGTAAGGAAACAATTAGCTATGATGTGCTGGACTAATTTCAAAAAACAAAACCACTATATATGCATGGGTTCAACAATTTCTTTATTTCCTTAATATAAGAGTGCAGTGTATATTAGTTATATTCACAAGATATGTGACATGAGGGGAAGTTTCTTAAGGATCACATTATATTACCAAGTACATGGGGGAAAGGGGTTCGGCAAGGGGATCCCCAAACCATATATTTCTTAAAAGGGATAGTGAAAGCTACACAGACAAAACATAAAAAAGAGGATTACTCTGTAATTCTGGTATCCTGCTTAATACTTGCATCTCCTTGTTGTAAAATTCTGAAATGTTCAGAATCACCAGCATATATTGTCTTTCCTAAAAAACACCAATTGGTTTCACTGTCACATGACATCTTTAAGGAGAGTTTGTAGTGTGCTCTCTTACTCTGTAGTCTCTTCAGAAGTACCATATACTATAAGCATGTCTGGCATGAAGATTTCTCAAGCCTGAAGATCTCTTAGGTAACACATTTCATAGATTTTAGGAAACCTCCTAATGATCTCAAATATTAGCATTAAACCAGATAACCTTATCATTTCAGAGCACATGCCCTTTGGTAGTTGGCTTAATTCCCCAATTCTTAGTTTCATTAACTCATAGAGCAGCTGCACTTGGTAAGTAAAACCTCTGACATTAGACAGAGTAAAACACTGTACCAAAGTGGGGCACATCGGGGTGCAGCGCCACTTAAAGGTTTAATATTAAACTAAATAACATTCATTAAACTGTTAAATACCTGGTCCAGTATCTACACCTTTATCCATGAATGTACTCAAGCCACTACACTCATCTTGAAGCCGATAACAGATCAAGTGCTGATGTCTCTTTGCTAAAGTCAGTGGCATGTTGGTGAAGTTTCTAATTATCAATGCTAACTGCTTGAAATAACTATGCTTCGCCTCGTATCTCATACACCATGAACGGACTAACAGCCCCAATCTGTAAATGATGATATGAGTCGGTCAGGTTGTGTAAACACAACATGTAATATCGAACATGCAATAGCGTCAATACACGGGGTATTACTTTCTGGAAAAGTACATGCATGTACATAAAAACCCTCATAACCACCCTCCCCCCCATAAAAACACTTTAGAAGAAAAGATATAAGGGTTAATGTGACGCAACTCTGGTTTCTTTATATCAGAACATTATTAGAATGGGCAAAGCAGTTGTACACTGCACAATGTCCTAATGATTTTAAACTACTCCGCAGTAACATATAAGGATGACAAGTGGAAGGGAAAAAAGGTTAAATACGTATACATTACCTTATAATAGTGCGTGGTATATGGATCATGTAGTGCATTTTTGGAATAATTGCTCGTCCAGGATATAAACGTGCAAAACCTCTGTGGTGCTCGTCAATGAGAACTTGCAAATATGCTGCTTGATTTATGCTTATACATGTTGAAAACACAGTGTATGTTATTGTTAACAGCTTTCCAAATAAAATCCAGTGTTCATCGTCATCTGGAACTAATGTTCCAAGAAGCATTGGCAAAAATCTGGCTAGGCACCACATTTGGGCAGCTTATAAATAAGAGAAAATATGCATCAACTACTGTAGTAACAACATGATTAAAACTGATCAAAAGTGGCAAAACTATATCATCCATGCGTGCACACATTTTTGCGTCACGTATTCTCTACTAATCAATTGCAATATGACTGACGGAATTAATGCTTTTTGAGAACCAGTCATATTCTATACATTGATTACCAATTCAAATTCTACTTAATTCTCGGAAGAGAAAAAGTACATGCAAGACATTTACAGTACTCAGGACCGTACAATAGCTCATAGGGGAAACCCTTATCTTTCCCTTAGCCCTTCTAAAACAGTGTGGAACATGCATGCATGCAATATTATAAAAATGTAATAGTACCATGTTGCTTTAAGCTGTGATCAGGAGATGATAGCCGTTTTTCGTTGATAGGACTGGGTTTGTTTGCATCGTTATAGTATCCATAATCAAATTCAGCTAACCGTCTATTAAGCTCTTTGAGTGTAAGAAGTTTCTTTACATTAATCAGTTCGTTGAGAAGTTCCTTGACCTCGTATTGCAGAACGCCTTCCAAGACATCGTGCATAGCATCCCCTGGGAGCCCTCCTATGACATGAAAATACCTTGAAGAATTCAATGGTGACGATCTATTTATTTCATAGGCATAGCTGTAGTAGTCATCACGCAAAATGTGCGCACATTGCTGATCATAGCTTCCACGGGTCCTGAGAATAAATCCCTTTTCATGAAACTAAAAAAAAATTATAATAATTACTATGCATTCTGTACAATATAATTATAAGGTTTGGAATGCAGTTACTATATAATTGTAAGATGATGGATAACATATTGTTATTGCTTATTTTATTGTGGAAATCATGAACAGTTATACAGACCTATTAGAAAAAGAGCAGGAGGCCTGTTGCGAGTTACGCGAAAACGAGGCTAGTCAGATCAAAGTCAAAATCACTTGTTTACTTTTAAATTTTGGCTGGAGAAAACTCTAACTAGCCTGGTATATCTGACCAGCCTCGTTTCCGCGTAACTCTTCTTGCTCTTTTTCAAATAGGTCTATAAAGAGGCAGTAAATATACACTTACAAACTTAGCAATATCATCTATACCACCCATGCACTCCCGGCATCTCCTGTGGGCTTGTGATCCTTCTTTAAACCCACCAAGAAACTGAGACCCAAGGTTATCACCAGAGAAAAACGCAATTGTACCACGGAATTCCCATTTATGCTGAACTCGTATCCATCATCCTATGATTTGTAAAAAATATTACTGTACAACAAATTGTTTTGTATAATAATAATTTGTTGCGCAGTAGCTGTACTGTACAACAAATTGTGCAGTATTGAACTTTGAGTTCCTTTTTTAGGAGTTATTTAACGCTTCTAATATTCATTAAAAATCTTATAACAGCACTGCCGTGCAATAAATTTTACAACAGCACTGCCGTGGCGTTGTTTCTATATAAAATTCAATCGACCAATCAGAACGTAGGTTTTAAAATATGAATATTAAAATCATTACAGTACAATAAATTACTGTGTCAATCTTTCAGGAAGATCATAATTGACCCCATCATGATTTTTCATTCGTTTAATAATAAATTACATCATCAAGAATGTGATTGCAATGACGCTAGTTTAAACATTTCAGTAATTATTTTAATGGATTTCATGCAGGCTCTACAAATTAACACCCTGGTGAAATTAATAGCTCAAAGTTTTAAAGCAAAAAAAAAACTAGGGACAAACCTGTTCAAGAAGAGACAGATCCTCCATAAATGGTGCCAGCACATCATCAGGTCCATATGTCTTTAGGTGAGGACTGGGTACAAGAGCAAGTAGCTGTATTGCATTCAGATGAGAGCGTTTTTCTGGTCTAATGTTTCCTAATGTATAGTAGAAAGCACCTAAACAGATATATTATGTAGTAATATATCTCAATCAGTCTAGATGTCTAATTGCTAATGTTTAAAATATAGCAATTAAATCTATATATAATTACCCAAGGACTCCTAACTTACCTAATTTGTGCTTATTTGCTTTAGATCCTAGAGGATTACATATTTCAACCTCGTCAAAGTATAGTAAAATTTGTAAAGCATAAGGATCTTGCGAGAATAGTGGATGATTTACAAAATCATCTCCATCACAGTAGTCACACAAAAGATTTCCAGTACTTTTGTGTGGATGTTTAACCTACAAAATGTACATAAAATATTAATTAATCAATGGACCTGTCTGCATGTCACCTTACCTACACAGACTTGTTTTTGTGATTAGGATGTTGGGTTTTAGCTGATATGTCAGAGGCACAAAAATGAGCCAGGCTCTGTAGCAAAAGGCTAAATGCATGGGACAGCGCTTTAACTCAGGGGGGCATTTTTGGGTTGTCTGTCTGGGCCTGATTTAATTGATTCTCAGGAGAATATTTTAGATCTAAATGTCAGTGCTTCTGTGCATGAGATGCAATTTTCTGGATTTTAGGAAGCTATGGATTCTGTACATGTTTATTGATGATAGAGAAGTCAAAATAAAAAAAGGAGGGGGATTAATATACACATTTATCCTTCTTCTCAGAATTTATTATATTCATTATGGTATTGTAATCCCTTAATTAGCAATATTAAGCAATGTTAGGAAATTCCTTGGGACAATCCCTCTGTGTTAAGTAAAAGCTCATATTGAGTGACTGTGCTTTATATTATGTATAAAAATCTCATATTGTATACCTTTGGAGATGCATGGTTACATGAAACCGCTAGCTGATATCACATTACAACTTAATTATTAGATACAGTATTACTTTAATTATACATACATCAAACATCACTGAATCATTGTTGAGAAGTTGTTCTAAACTCTCAAGGAAAGGGACATAACACACTTGGTCAGTTTTCCTAACAGACTTCATTTTACTTCCTCTCCGGGCTTGTACATGCCTTTCCCCAAGTACTGTGCACTTTGGTTCCTACATAAAAAATACATAAATATAAAATACAAATGTATACGCTAAAGAATCTTACAGTAAATATGTAAATATGGGAAAGCTAGGCTACAAGAAATGTATTGCATAATTTTTATCATATATAACCATTTAAATTTCCAGAAGCTTAATAAAAACATTTTAAGAAATTCATATTGACACAGAATTTCCTGAATTTAATTCCTATAAAAATTCCTAGAATTCCTACAAGTGCTCATATAAGTACTTGACCCCATAAAAGTTTGTGACCACAGATCCCAATGTTGGATCTAATCTAGTCTTGCGCCCTTGTGATATTTGGTTTGTTAACCTGTATGCTCACTTCGGGCCCCCTGAACACTCTGGCCTTGTTCACTTCAAATGATTTGACAGTATACAGTACTCACCCCTCATTTATACTCCCCCTCCCATCCAAAAATTTACACTGATTAGCTAGTGCATAATTCAATTGGAGCATACCACAAAAACATATTGTTTAAACAATAATTTGGCATAATTATATCAAATTCTATTCAGAAAATACACTCACCACTAGCTTGAAATGCTCACGATAATATTGACATTGTTCTGACTCCGTTGCAATACCCTTAAATGGATTATTTGCCAAACTATCTTCATTAAAGAGTTCGTTTAAACCAGGAACTGTACTCATGTCAACACCAACTGCTTTCAAGCTATTATCAACTCCAGTCTTTATCATGCATGTGGTTCTTCGTACTATCTCGGTTGATGTATCTACCACTATGTTTAAACTTTTCTGGGTCAATTTTCCTTCTTCTCTAATTTTCATCATAGATAGAGCATTCACTCGTCGCATACTATCCTCTTCGCACAGGGCACCAAACTGTAGATGTCCGCAGCCCTCATCTATTTCCATGTTTATATCATCAACTACAGCAGGTGGATTTTCCAATTCTTCACAGTTTTCATTGTCTTGATTACAGCCATCCGCATTTAAGATTTCTTTATGATTCTTTTTAATGTGATTGCGAAATGCATTATAGCTCCTGTAAGTCCTCGAGCACCCATCAATTCCACAAAGAATATGGAAACACTGGTCCGAACGGTGGCAACGACCCAAGTGATTAAGGAGCACTGGGAAATTCATCGCAGAATAACCTACGCAGAGATTGCATTTGTACGGCATAATTGCCCGTTTTCATTTCATTGACAGCATAAAAATTTTACAAAAGACAGTGACCATAGACAATCCAGAAGATGTCTTCTGGATTGTCTATGCGGTGACTCTTGAACTCTTCTCATCTCCCTTTCCCGCGTATTTCATATCCAGGTTCCAAATATGGTCAAAATCATTCCTATGATGCATTTCGGTCAGGCACACTTCGGGCTGTGCTTCGGGTTTCTTTTTTCTGTTTTTCAAGACTTTTTTGTTCATGTCGACTGTTGTCGGACTTGTTGCACTGGTTAAAATAATTTATTACACCTTGTCGCTAACTTAGCAAGTCTTTTTATTGAAAGTTACAAGTAGCAACTGCTTAAGAAGACAATAGATGGTGAGTACATTTTTAAAATTTGGTTGGCAAGCATAAACTGGTTAACGTGAACAGCTACAAAACAGCCGCGGCGAAACTAAGCCTAATAAATTCACACTATCTTGAATTTTTTAATTTCCTTTACGGTTTTTCAAGATTTGCACAGTTTTTCCTATTTTTGAAGTCTTTTTAATTATTTTCAGGCCGTAAGGATTAGGGAAGTTACATTTAACTTTACTTTGAAGTTTGAAAACAAAAAAATAAGGCTTTTCATTTATATTAAAAACTGAGTGTATATTTCTTACACATTCGTGAACACGGCCACTGTAGAATATTTAAACAATTTAGTGATAACTTTATGATTTTTAATTGTGTGTGAATCTTGTCAGTTTACGTAAAATATGACTTTGTTTTCGAAAAGGCTAACGTCAAGAGGGGTTTGCATTTTTGTCAAGATACAAAAATAAAGAAGTTTCAGTGTCTGGGAAGTTTGTAGGAAAATTACCCTTTGAGTGGAAGCATCGTCACCAAAGTCGAGCAAAGTCCAAAGTCTTTACTTATTTTCTACTTTAAAGCATGCTTTATAAACTTTGCAGGAGCAGGATGTGGAGGGTTTGAAACGGAAATTATCCGATTCGGGAGCCAATGAAGCGACAATCAGACTACTGATTGATGAAGAGGTTGGTATTTTCTATTTTATTTAGTGATATTAGTTCATGCTAAAATATTTGCACTTTTAAAATACACGATTGCCTCCGGTTGGGAAACAGGATTATGAAAATTTATATATGCCCAAGTATGCAGGCCCATTGTTAACTTCTGCTTGCATACCATCGTGTGATTTAATAGATTTGTTAACTGTGAATCTTACGAAGATTCAGTTAAAATATAATTACTGTGGAAACATATTTGAATGATGTTTTCATAGTGCATATACATCTATCAATACTGGTATATTTTCCCACTCAGTATACGTGCTTGTTCAGTACAACTGAAATCATGACATAGTGGATTTTTTGTGTACTGTGCCCATCTTTTGCCCCTGCATGTTGGGCCAAATCGGATTTGACAGGGTCTTTAATGTGATTTGTGTAATTGTTTGTGTCTACAGATTTTCGATGCCCAGTCTTTAAGGTTATCCACTAATGAGTTACTAAGAACTATTGGCCTAAAATGTGGACAAATCATTGCAATTAGAAAAGCATTTCCTAGTTCTTTGGATACAAGCACTAAAGAATCTGCTGCTCCATGGCCTTCATCAACTATTCCTATGGTATGATTATGTTTAATATGTTCAGGCAACTACTACTAAAGGATGCAGTCATCTCATTTGTTGTCAACATATCTGATTTTTGAGTCATTTTCTACATTTCCTTTTTTATGTTTTCTTTGCTGCCAAATTATAATGAACACAGACCCCCAATGCAATCATTTCTGCAGAAAAGCAAGAATCTCCCAAAACAAGTCATGTGAGTAATTAATATATGTCACATATCAATTTCTCTGACAACAAATATGTATATATATATATATATATATATATATATATATATATATATATATATATATATATATATATAACAGTTATAGTTAGCTTAGAAACAGATTTGCCACCTTAAAGCCCTGGTGCAATTTTTCTTGCAACTTGCACTTCAATTCTTCTTTTGGGACATGTAGATTTGGCAACTACCGAACTTTTGTCTTTATTACGCTCCATTGCAGTTCTTATACTTACATTTTAATCACTCCTCACTAATTTACAGCTCTTTAAAGTAGAATTGCAATGCAAGTTACAAGGAAAATTGTGTGTAACCGTGTAACAGGGCCTTTAGAATTTATAGGTGGGAGATAAGTGGGAAGCAAAAAAGATATTTGCTTTTACCAGTCCAATCCTTATAAGCATCTCATCCACAAATTTTGAAGCAGCAAAATGAAGATCTCTGTTCATGCTGTCATGTAGTATTTATTCATTCATTCATTTGAATTATTATGTGATATAATAATGCTGATTAATGCATGGCAGGTTTAGACACAACCATTCATTTCCATGGAGAAGTTTAGGAGCAAATAGAACTAGGTTGCATGAAATTGCACTTTTTAGAATACTAATTACTAGAAAATCATTGTTGTTTTAATCAACAGAGCAATGCATCAGTGGCCAGTGCTTTTGTGAAAACACCTGAATCTGGAAAAAAGAATATATTATGCATAGAGCTGCCTGAAGAGTCATCGGTAATTAAAGCAATTCTATGAGAAAATAAATCAAATATATCCTATATCAAGTCATATATATATATAAATATATATATATTTATATATATATATATATATATATATATATATATATATATATATATATATATATATATATATATATAACGTTAGTAATGTTTATTTGCATTGCAGTTATCTCCAAGAGTACAACAGGGACTAAAAGAAGGAAAGTTAATAGACAAAGCCAGAAATGAGTATGTCAGGGATGTCTGCAATGTAATCCGTACATTTACATTGTATCCAAGCCAATCACAGAGGGAGCATGTTGCTCATATGATTGTTACAAGATATCCATTTTTAAAAGATTCTATTGGCAGTGGATTGGTTAGTATACATTACATAATTATATAGTATACCATGTTCTGCACTGCAAGAACATCATTAATGATTTTAAATGGAATTACAGGCTGGGTTTTTTTTCTGGAGCTGTTTGTTTTAGGAATTTCAATTTGCTGAGAAACACCATTACTGCCATGTTCCTTTCAGTTGTTATCATATTGACATCACTTTAAAAGTTATCATGATCTAGCTACAGTAAGTCACTTAAACATTTCTAGGGATCGTGGGAGAAAGCTATCCACTATCGTCTAAAAAATATACGCAAAAAAAGCAAAGGTACCAAAGTGGTTAAAAGACTACATGTACTTGATGAAGATCCAGAAACAGAAACAAATGCAATGGTATCTGGAGGGAAGAAAAAAAAATCTTCAAATTATGCTGTATCTGTGGCTGAACTGCCTGAAGGAGAAACAGAAGATACTTGTGTTGACCATATGAAGAAAATGGTAAAAGAAATGGAAAAGGGAAGAAACAGAAATATGACACTAGTTAAGCAACTAATGGAACTAACATTTCCATTTCGAAGAAAAGTAGTTTTAGAAGGGAGAAAGAGTGTTGAAGAAATTGTTCATGAATATCCTGCTATAGCTCTCCCAGTAGAGGTTAGTAGTACTGCATATTTATATAACAGTTACAAGTGGCAATGGGTTTTTCCTATAGCTAAAGTACTAATGTAGATGACCAAATATGAAAACAATTATTGCAGCAATTATTAAGGTAATTATACAAAAAATACATACATTACTCTTTTAGTTGAAGAGAGAGTTTGGTCGTATCCTTGGCCAACCCACACTGGCAAAAGATTGTTCTACTGAGTTTCTGTATTGGGTGCCTAAAATTGTGTCTTTCAGTCGAACATGCCCTTCAACAAAAACTATAATACAGGAAATGACTGAAGTCATTGATGACAACAATAAAAAAGGTAAATATAATTGCATGTTTGTACTGTATTGTATTTCATTTCTTGAATTGTAATGTGTTTGTTTTTAGGTTTCTAGAACCTTTTTAAAGTGAGATCATGACTCGAGTATATTTCCCCCTACAGTAATATAATTTTTGGGCTATCTTAATCTCAAGCCCTGCTTCCAATGTGGGTTTGCCATTAGTCAAACTAACCTGGTTTAAGCGTTTTGTGATTAATTGTGTGAATTTATTTTATAGAAATAGAAAGTGCAGCATCCATCATCTTACTGACAATACTTTTGAAAGAAAAACGTGGCAACCAAGATAATTGTATCAAGATAGTTACGGTAAATCATGTTGAAGAAAATAACTGTATATGTATTAGTGTAATATGTGCACTAATGCGCTGTATTTAAGCATATACACACCCAGAGACACCACAGGTTTGTTGCAAGTTGTCAATTTTACCAACTTTTCAAGTTGTGAACAAGTTGCAACAAGCTTGCTAATTTCAACAAGTTGCGACAAGCATGTGAAAATCAGCCTTGTTGCAATTTGTCGTTTCCAGCCTTGATGCAACTTGTTCAAACAACTTGCAGCAAGCTTGAGAATGACAAGCTTGACAAGTCTGATTGAAAAACTTGCAAAAAGTCTGTTAACAACTTGTAACAGGATTGTTGACAACTTGCATCTGGTCTGATGAGAACAACTTGCATCAAGCCTGTTGACAACTGGCAACAAGTATGTTGATAACTTGAAACAGCCCTGTCCGAATAAGCCATGTAAATACATCTGATATAAGCTTGATATGTACAAGAAGTTGCAACAGGCCTGCAACAGACTTGTAGCAACTTGGGCGTTTTTGGCTGTTTAGGATCATGCACGCAGGCACTATATACCAATGGACGTGAGTGTATATTTATACTGAATCTTATTTTTTTATATCCAATATTTTTAGGATGATGATGATGAAGGAATTGACTACTTCATTAAAAAATCAACTTCTCCACGACTTGTGGGAGCTGGTAATATATTTCAACCTGACCCCCTATATATTTGTATTGAGGGAAAGACTATCGTCGGTCCTTTAACTGGCAATAATGCTTCGCTTGTTGAAGCTGTTATAACCTTGTTAGCT